CAAAACAATTCTGAAAGCAATAAGGAAGAACACCAGTAACAGCTGTTAATGGTTAACCGCTAGTGGGACTCTAGGTCGAGCACGACAGCAGTAACATATGCAGAGATAACGATGGCGATTACGAAGACAGCCCCGAAGCAATTTCTGGGAAGTTAATATACGGTTAATTAGTGGAAGTTTAGAAGGATCTCGACTGGCAGTTAGCAGACAGCCCGGAAGGACTGTTGCCAATTTCCAGTGTGGAAAGATATTCGACCACAGATGGAGTTAACAACACAGCCAAATGTGGTGCGCACTGATCGCGACAGCAATACAAATAGACTTCCCAAGTTCAAAATAACAGGAAATATTTTTTTTGTAGGCAAAATGACCAGCTAAAGAAAAGCTTTCAAGCGTGCAGCTGAGTCGGAATCACGCGAACGCTGAAAAACTGCAATGAAATTTAGAAGCTGATCAAAACAAGAACAGGGCATTCACTACAACAACAACAACCGCGAAGACTTTGGGAACCCAGAAAGTAATCGCAGCGGTCAAGCATGGCACAAAGGACAGCAAAATGATATGGTTTCAGTATTTTTTTCTTCTCCGCATTAAATAAATACCTCGTGCTTAGCATCAATCGCAAATCCACTCTTTTCGGGAATATTCGCGCCTTCAAAAATGCTCCAAGAGAGCACCAGCCCAGCCGCAAAATCAGCATAAAGAAACTGCTCCTTGCCGTCATTTACAAAGAAGTGATGTATTATTGTCAATCTGAAACAGTTACCTCATGCCTCTAAGGTCAACGAGAAGCAACTAACACAAAGTGAGGAGCGTTGCAGACGGCTAGCTTCCCCATTCACAGTATTTTTAATTCTTTTAAAGCGGTTCTGAAATTTCATCCGCAGTTCCAACAAAGATTTGCTTGGATTGAGGAGGGGAGGAAGAGGGAAGCAGAGCAAGAGGAGGCGGGGAAAGTAAGCTTCTTTCAGCTCAAGCACGTTTATCAGCTTGGCACCAGGACGACAGATTTCGTCGACGAAGTCAGGATGGGCTCAGAATGTTGCTAAAATGCTAAATAATGAAAATGTTGCGAGATTGTAAAAGAGGGTAGTGTTAGGTTTGCGTATGCGCATCCTTCGTCAGAAGCTGGATGCAACACTGACCAGAAGTGGTCAAGAAATTAAAAGGAAATAAAAAGAACTCAACGTTTCATCAATCAAAGCCCGGCCAATTGCATGATTTGCAGTGGGATCAATCGAACTGAGGAATGAAACCAATGCGCTGACATTGACAGCTGTGTCCGGCTCACAGATGAACAACCAGTCAAAAGATGTGCTGTTGTAACGGGCGAACAGACTGAAATTACAGCAGCTTTACATTCCCAAATCGACGAAGAACTACTGCGATACTCTTAAGCCTAAGCTTGATCCCGCTGAAATAGACCTACAAACTGCGTCTTGTATGCAACTGCAAAAAAATAAAACTGTGTGTTTGATAACCTGCGACAATAACACTTCAGAACTTGGCATTCAGAGGCCATTTTAAAAATTTACTCATTAACCAGCCAAAACGGTGAATTTAATTTCTCAGCTTAATCTAGCCGGCATTAAGATCTGAAGCGAAAAAGATTTCTTGAAAAAGTGACCACACCTTTGTAACATCGGCCAAATTGCCCATGCCCCAGTGACTTCCTGGAAATCCATATGCGTCCTCAGAATGACAGCCCGCTAAATATCGCAAGCACAAATATTTTTTTAGTAATATCAGTAACAATTTCATCAAAAAAACTTCGACGCCTTGCACGCAACTGAAAGCCATCAGCCATGACATTATATCTCATCCCAGCCATTCGTTGCATTTTTTTATCTCATGCCAGCCATTCGTTACACCTTTTTTCTCCAGTTTTTTTTTTTTTTTTTTTTTTTTTTTTTTTTT